TTGATCCGCTTAACAATAGCTGAATGATGGCCATTTTAAGGCCGAAAATGCATCAAAATCGCGTATTTTCACAATTCCGGAACCGGATCTCAGTCATGCATGGATGGATTTTGTTCAGATTTAGTACAATGTGTTGTACAAATGCAGCTGCATTTCGGATCAGACCACTGAAAGTGGTCTGAGATTTCGGTCATGATCTGCTTTGAATGTATATGTCACTCAAATATGAACGGAACAGGGACGTGTCATTGACAATGACTTGTTGACCAATAATTTTGTTAAAAAAAAATTTCAAATTCTTCATAAACACTGCCAATATGGTTGCTTTTAATATTTGCGGTGTATATTATTTTTGCAAACAACTTGTTTGATGAAGTTAGGTTGTCATGTTCTGAACAGCCCGATTAAAACTATTTTTTTTGTCTTATGGGTGTACATTGCTCGACTTGGCTACCACAATGTTAGTGTAGGAAAGCAGAGCTATTTTGACTATCAACATGCTTGTTGTCTTTTGGTAAAAAGGCTATTTGTACCTTGGATGGACCTCTGTCAGATTTGTTTATTTTGTGACGATATCTTCAAATTTTCTATTTTTGGCAAATATTTTTGTTAAAAAAAGCTCAATTGAGGTGTACATTATTTTTGTGACCAATTTGTTCTTAACTTGGCTCCCACAATGTTCTTGTAGGACAGCGGAGCTATTTCAACAGTCAGGTTGCTTGTTTAACCTTTGCGGTATAAGTACCATGCAAGTCCCATTTGGGGAGGGTTTTAGACTGTCTACAGGCTTAATTTGTTAGTATACCAAATCGGAAAATGCAGAAGAATTTGCAAGAAATACCAGTACAAATACTTGAATTTCGCATTCTGGAATGGTTTGATGCATAGCAATACAAATCTCGCACGATGGAATGGCATATCACATTATGCAAGGTGACCGCCAAACTCGGCTAGATTCTAACTCGGCCAAGTTGTGTTTTAATGGGTTTGTGAATGGGTGTCGATGGTCTATATTATTTGTGGAATTGTAAAATAAATACTCAAATCGGGCTTACTGTTACGATTTTTCATATCAACTGTAAATAAATATTTGTAATAGCATGTTGACTTTACATAGCCAAATTAAATTAAGAAAGCCACAGATATCAAACGGACCACCTCTCTTGGTTTTAAGCAAGGACATGTTGGAAATGTATTGTTGAACAGTATGTTGAATATGTGTACACTATGTATACACTGTAAATGTGTGCTAAATAGTGTATTAATGTATTAGCATGTAAATAGTTATATATAGTACATTCCCCAGGTGCCTGATTACTTTAAAAGCTGCGGCTTCTAATAAAATGGTACAGTGCAACAGAGGAGATGCGGCTTCTATTAGAGCATCTACACATATGAGAAATGGTGACTTTAGGTTTCAATTGTTCAAAAAGAATGGGTGCGGCTTCTAATACAAATTTTACGGTAGTGATGCAGATGAACAAGGACTTTGTAGTGGATGGAGGAAAAACCAAAAAATTAAGCGAAGGGAGACGTCACCTGCACATGCGTCAGATGGCAATAGGGTGTCATTGTTTACAAACAAACGTCTACCCATGAGGCTTTGATATTTGACTATCATCATCATTAAAGGAAACAATTCTAACTGCCCAATGAGGGATTCACATCAACGATCTTCATTCTGTATTGTTTTTAGTTTAAATCTGACAATCTTTGCAGTTCATAATTGTACAGTAGCATAACAACAAACAAATTAGCAGCTGTAAGCGTGCTTATGACGAAAAACCTAA